CAAAGAAAAAAAAAATACATAAATACGTTTTAAATGGGTTTTATCGAATGCACAATAAATAGTGGAAAGAGAAAAAAAAAGTAATTATTACTACTAATGATAACGATACTAATAATTAATTAATTAATTAAATAATAACGATAATAAATTAATGGATAAAACGATATCGTTCCCTATCGATATGTTGTACAAATCCTGTTGCTAATTTAGAAGATTCGCTGCTTAAAGCGGTTTTATAATGTTAAGGGTGAGTGTGCGAGTGCGGTGGCCGTCGATCCTCCCAAAATTCATTATTTTTAACTTTAACACCCCACAAAGAAAAACACACCAACAAATACACACTCGCGCACACCAAAATTATCCTCCCCGCGATTAGAAGAGTACCTTCTTCATAAAGTGACATCGCATTCGCACATTAGATTTAAAAATTAATTAAAAAAAATCGAGAAAATCAGAATTACGATACAGAAAAAAGTGGATTAGAAAAGTTTGGTTTGAATCTCAAAGTATATAGAAAAAAGAGATCCGAAGCTGGAAATAATAGAAGAGAAGAAGTAACAACAACCATTCACTGTCGAAGTAAAAAAAAAATCCAGTAGTAGCAATGGTGTTTTCTAACATTCCAAGTTGAAAACAGTAAATTGCCTTAGTGCTGTCAGTCTGTTTGGTCCGTATTTTGGGGGCGGAGGCGGGTATTAGAGTTAGCGCGGCGCCGGCGTCTCGGCAGGGGCGGGTTTGCTGTTGGGCCCCCACCGTGCCACCCCCGGCCCGCACTCCGCCTCTCTTTCGCCCAAACCCCCGAAAATAGAAGAAAAACTAAGCAAAAAATAAATAAATTCAATGTGAATGAACGAGGTAGTATTATTAGGCTTTCAACACTTAGGTTTAGCTAGAGTTGTAACTGTGTTGTTATATCGTGTTAAGTGTAAACCAGTCGGTCGTGCTCAATAAACATGACTACTAAATCACACGATTGTATAACATTTGACGTTTTATTATGATTATATCACTATTATTATTATTATTATAATTATTGCCACTACGTTTTTTCGTTGTAACGTTTTTTAGTAGCATAGAAAAAGAATTAAATTAAAACGAGATGTTTGGAAGCGAGACATTAACTAAAAGAAGAAAATTATAATAACGAAAGCGAAAAGAGGATGAGGAACGGTTTAGCAAAAAAAAAAATATATAAACAATAAACGCGGGCAGGCAATAACAGGGTGGGAGACGCACGTTAAACGAAAAGTCGTCGTCGTACACGATACTTAGCGGCCACACGTCCTATTCTGTATTTCGGTTAGTTGTGTCGCAGAGGATCTGCTTCGTAGGGCCCTATTTTCATATACTCTCTCGCGCCCTGGTCCGAGACCAGCCCACCACGGTATTGTTATCTTATTGTAAATATTTTTAAGTATCAGTTTATTATTCGCTTGTGTTCTTTTCACATTCATGTTTTAGTACATAAAGCTGTAAAAATTTTGGGTTTTAATAAAATGGATCATAGAATTAAAGTTTAAAATAATCTATTCTTTTTCAAACCTCCTATTAATCAAAACTGCACCAGCAAACAAGGTATTTTATTTCAAATACTAATGTTAAATGAAACTGGAAAATATCTTAATTAAGAAACAGATATGCATAGAAGCTTGTTGGACCATTCTAGTGATGGAACGGATAGTGATTTATAAAATATTTATAAAATCTTTTATATACTACTTTTGTGAAATTTTGATCGTTGTAAAAGATATTCTACACCAATGGACTCAAATTCAAAATTACAAAAACCTGAAATAATGAAAATGTATCCATATCAAAGTCTGCTCGGAAGTTTAATGTATGCATCAATTGGTACAAGACCAGATATTACATTTTGCGTTAACCTCTTAAGTCAATTTAACACGAATTACAACAAGAGTCATTGGATTGTCGCAAAAAGAGTGTTAAGGTATTTAAAAGGAACGATAAATTTGGAACTAACTTATAGAACTTCAGGGAAAGAAATGAAATGTTATACAGATGCAGATTGGGGATCATCTATAGATGATCGGCGCTTCTATACTGGTTATCTGTTTAAAATGGCAAATGCAGCAACTTTGTGGGAAACTAAAACAAAGGACCGTTGCTTTATCAAGCACAGAAATGGTAGCACAGAATGTAATCGGTACATGAGCCTTACTGAAGCAGCTAAAGAAGCACTGCAAGAGAAAAAATTCTTATCGGAATTAAAGTCTTTTACAATGATAATCAAAGTTGTCAAAAATTGGCAAAAAACAACGTTTATCGTAGTAGGACTAAACACAGATATAAAATATCATTTCATAAGAAAAACTTTGGAAGATGACGTTATCTATTTAAAATATTGTCTAACAGAAGAAATGATTGCCGACGTGCTAACAAAGCCGTTACCAAAACCAAAATTAGAAAACTTTATAACTATGATTGGCCTTGAGGGGGAATATTGAAATGTTAATTTTAATAGGTCATAATGTATTAAAATTATGCGTGATATATGTTTTAACAGTTTAACAAACCTTTTTATTATTTTTATTTATTGACAATTAATGATAACAATATTCACTTGTTTTTTATATTATATTATATATAACAACTCATAAAACATTAATGCACTCTTGATTGGGATTGCTATATGAGAAAATATAACATTTCAATAGAATTTTGAAAATTATCGATGAAAATTGCAACATCGAAAATTTTGTCAAAACTTCAAATATTGTTTGCTCAAAAACTAAAAGTTATTTTTCAAAACGTATTGGTTCATTGGAAAGAGGACACTTTTATTAACACTATGGGAAATTTTCATACTCATATTCCAAGAAATGGATTTTATACGAATATTTAAAATTTAATCGGCGATAATTGCAAAATTCAAAAAAATTGCGGATCATTTCAAAAATGTATCTCTCAAAAACTGAAAGTGATTTTTCAAAATGGCTTGTTGCATTAAGAAGAGGATGCTTCAATTAATAATCGAAAGTGATAACAGCGACAGTTCTGTTAGTAATGAATGTGGTGATAAATTACAAGCGAAGAGAATTAAACTGGACGAAACTGCAACAAGAGATTTTATATATCGCATTGGGATTGTTACAATGAGGTTGCTAAAGACAAACCTGATATAAATAAAGTTGTATTCAATGCAAAAAGTCCTATTGGGGTTGAACTTGGTCATTATCTGCAGTGTCCAACACCTAAAAGAGATACTAATTCCTGTGACTGCTGGAGTACTAAGTAATAGGTTTTTATTTGGTAACAATCCGGTATCTCTCCGGATACCGGGTAGTTGCCGGATATCCATTCCACCACTAGATCATTCTATCTACAATTATACATATAAAGAAAAAACAACGAATCCGGCAAAACTTCTAAAATAAATGTTTCAATCTATGTTTCACTCTAGTCTATTTTGAATGCGCAGTTTTTTTATGTCGTTAGTCACAGCGTCTATCTATCTCATTCTAGATCTTCCCCTATTTCACTCATTCTTAAGATGTGTCCAATCCATCTTATTCTTTGAACTTTAGCAAACCTAACAATGATTTCTCTTTCAACAAGGTTGTTTAATTTTTCATTATCACAAGTTAATTACGTTCCATTAACTCTTCGTCATATTTTCTTTCAAATATCATTAGGCTATTCTCATCTTTTGTTGTAAATGACCAGACCTCGCTTCTATTTGTGACAACCGGTCTTATTATCATTTTGTATAATAGTAGTATCAATTTTCTAGACATCAGTCGGAACCATTTGCCATTAATAATGGCGTTAGACAAAGCGATGCATTATCAACGTTATAGTTCAATCTAGTTCTGCAATATACAATTGGTGATCTAGAAAGCGGAGGCAGAATATTCAATAAGGCATATCAAGTCTCTCTAAAACCAACTCTTTAACATGAAGGTTTCTGCACAATATTGTAATGAGCGGCTCTTACTTTGATATGTGGGTGTGCAATGCGTATGCGACAAATTAGAATTTGTCACGCAATTATTGACATGACCAAAAAAAATAGAAATAAAGGAAAATTTAATTATTAATCTTTCCTTTAATTATCAATACTATCAAAAAACATACCAATCAAAGTAGACCGTAATCAATTAGTACAATGGTTACATAAAATTACTCATAAAGGGTTACAAATCTTTGTAATCTTTGTTTGTGAGTAATGATGAAGATCATCGTTGGAACGAGCTTCTTTTGATCAACGATCTTCTTCCCCCTTTCTAGTCTCGATTATTTTTATTTGAACCCTTCCACTGAACTCCACCCTAGGAATTCCAACTCCAACTCATAAACACTCTTCTTCTGCATCTGGAAGTTTCTCCCATCACTGGAACTTTGAACTCCGTCTCGGACTCCAAGACTGACTGAGTCTACTCTAAAACTCAACTCTCTGAACTCTGTCTTGGACTCCAAGATTGACTTCAAAATAACTCCAAGACTCAATTGGCTGAACTCTGTCTCGGACTCCCAGACTGACTTCAAAATCAGTCAAAGACTCAATTAACTCAACTCAACCCAACCCGTTAGTGTCTAGTTGAAGAAGTTTAGGTTAAACTTAGCCGATTGATCTGAACTCATTTAACAATATGTTGAGATCCAGGGTCTGGTGGTCTTATATCCAGTATCTATGGATTTAGTATGTGCGTTCCATAGCTTCCTCTACATTGAGAGGCGAGGAGGTGAGTTAAATTGTTGGTCGTTAAACTTAATATTTAGTGTAACATCTAGAAAATTTTAAAATTTGTATTTGTTATTTTAATTTTTATCTCTTGTTTCAAGAGATAACTACTACATAAATAAGATCGATCCTAATTAAAAATTGAGGTGTAGAGGCTCTCTCATTTTATTTATAATAAAAAATACATATTTATTAAAATAATTATCCAATTTAAATTTGACATTAACGTGTAATACTAAATTACTGTAATAGATGTCGCCACAAACAAACTTATCCTTTCTATATAATTAATAGATGTCGCTAAAACCCACAAACACAGCCGGTTAAAATAACGCTCATAACCTCTCATAATGTGTTAAATCCGCCAAAAACAACCATGGAAAACATTTCAAATCGTTCTGTTCGGTTTTTAGAAGATTCGCTAAGTGTTCCAGGAACGAGTGTGCTACGTCCCAGTGTGTTTAAATTAAAGAAAGACGCTGCAAAAAGCCTAAGTTTATCCTTAACTTTATCACCTGATGAAATATTATTTTTACAACAAAATTCTCAAACTGAACCAAACTGTACGTTTGTGAATGACACACTTATTTACCATAGTTCTAGCAAGATTTTTAACACTGTTTCGTTGAATGAATCATTGAAGGGAACAGTTATTCGTACTAAAGAACCATGGAAAAATGCTTTCGATTTATTACACATTGAGTTTTCGGAGATTTTACAAAGCTATTCTGGAAGCCAAGATGTTCTTGAGACAATTTCTGATCTCGGGAGATGCTGTGCTGACGCTTTAAAAGTTGTTGAAGGATTAAAAGCACAAGTTTCAGTCAGACACATTGATCCGGAAGAGTTATGGTTGAGAAATGAAGGAAATACATGGAGATTAATTCATATTTTATACCAAGATCGACTGGCTACTGCATACTTGAGAGAAGAAGAGCAAGATATCGATCAATATTTTGGATTGAGCGAGAAACGTTGTGTGGAGAATTTGTTTAAAAGAGATAATTTAGTTAGAGAGAGCCAATTGGTTATCGATTGGTTAGAGAATAACGCTAAATTAGCTACTCCTGTTGATTTTTATTACACCGATATTACAGTCGGTTGGGAAAACACTCTGCATCAATTACAATCAAAAGATACTATTGCATTTGTTAGTAAAAGAGAAATTGTTAAATCATTGCATCCAGATGCCCCTACATATGAAAATAAACCTTTACATGAATTAGATGAACAAGACGAAAAGGCACTTTGTAAAAGAATCTTTCATTTAATTCGATGTGGTAATTTAGATGGTGCACAAAAGGTAATATTTTTTTTAACCCTTTAAGGACCAAGACTGTATATACATACTGGGTGTTTCTATAAGTTATGGCGTAATTTTAATCACAAATACTGGAATAAAAGTGATAAGGACTATGATTAATGAAAATATTTTGAAGTAGAGCTTGCATCTTAAAATTTTTATTTTTATTTGTGATTAATGCACTCCAATAATATACAACCAATCAGAGTAACGATCGTTTAAAATTTCGACCAATGACGTGATTTTTTAAGTGGATAAAAGTTACCTAGGTTTTTCAACTGAATAAATCACACGTGATATTTTATAACTGATAAAAACGCGACTACCATATATATACTTTTGTTTACCTGTCACATTTTTGACAACTATAATTAAGTCAAAAATAGTTAATAAATAATTAAAAATTGTCGATAAATTGTGCAATTGTCGTGTATTAATCTCCCTAAAATACGCTCGAGCTTGATTTTAAATCAGGATAATTTTATTTTTAATTCACTCAAGTTTTGTTACCCTTTGGAAATAACTCTCAATCAAAATCAAAAGATAAAATCGCTCCAGCTAAAGCTGTCGCGATTTTATCATGCTTTTGATTTCGAGTTATTTCCATGGTAACAAAACTTTCGTGTAAAAATAAAATTATCCGATTAAAAGTCAAGCTCTTGTGTATTTACCCCCGATTAAAATTATGCCATGACTGCATGTATGCCATATGTACCCCTTTTATAATTTTCATAAAGCTGAGTACACTTTGTCAAAAAAAATTTGATGTATTTTAATAACAATCAAAATATATTAATTTATTTTTACTCCACTATTCACAGTGATTAGAAATTAGTATCTCTTTTAGGTGTTGGACACTGCAGATAATAATCAAGTTCAACCCTAATAGGACTTTTTTCACTGAATGCAAGTTTATTTATTATTAGGAACCTCATTGTAACAATCCCAATAAGATATATAAAATCTCTTGTTGCAGTTTCGTCTAGTTTCCTTTTCTTCGCTTGTAATTTATCACCACATTCATTACTAACAGAACTGTCGCTGTTATCACTTTCGATTATTAATTAAAGCATCCTCTTCTTAATGCAAAAATCGAATTTTGCAATTTTCGCCGTTTAACTTCTAAAAATTCGTATAAAATCCAGTTCTTGGAATATGAGTATGAAAATTTCCCAAAATGTTAATAAAAGTGTCCTCTTTCCAATGACAAAACAATATTTGAAGTTTTGATAAAATTTTCGATGTTGCAACTTTCATCAATAATTTTCAAAATTCCCTATAAAATTATTTTCTTGAAGGATTCTTGTGGAAATATCACCAATCAAAGTACCCTCTTTTTAATGCAAAAGCCGTTTTGAAAAATCACTTTTAGTTCTTGAGAAATAAATTTTTGAAATGATCGACAATTTTTTCGAATCTTGCAATTTTCGCCGATTAAGTTTTAAAAATTCATATAAAATCCAGTTCTTGGAATATGAGTATGAAAATTTTCCAAAGTGTTAATAAAAGTGTCTTCTTTCCAATGAACCAACCCGTTTTGAAAAATAACTTTTAATTTTTGAGAAAACAATATTTGAAGTTTTGATAAAATTCTCGATGTTGCAATTTTCATCCATAATTTTCAAAATTCGCTATCAAATTTATTTCTTGAAGGATCCTTGTGGAAATATCACCAATTATTAATTAAAGTATCCTCTTTTTAATGTAATATGCCGTTTTGAAAAATCACTTTTACTTCTTGAGAAATAAATTTTTGAATGAATCGACAATTTTTTCGAATCTTGCAATTTTCACCGATTAAGTTTTAAAAATTCATATAAAATCCAGTTCTTGGAATATGAGTATGAAAATTTTCCAAAGTGTTAATAAGAGTGTCATCTTTCCAATGAACCAACACGTTTTGGAAAATAACTTTTAGTTTTTGAGAAAACAATATTTGAAGTTTTGATAAAATTTTCGATGTTGCAATTTTCATCGATAATTTTCAAAATTTGCTATAAAATTAATTTCTTGAAGGATCCTTGTGGAAATATCACCAATTAAACAAGTATACACGGTTTTGGACCTGAGCAACGAAAAGCTGTTTATAAGGTAAATTGGGCGGCTGAATCCAAATCAGCAGCCCGTTTTTTAAAATTGGTTCTAGTTTTCGAAATATTCAATAAATTCATTATTTTGCTATTTTTGAGCATTAAGGCCATTTATTGAATTAAATAGTAAAATCAGAATAAATCAGAAATGAACAGAGGTTGCACTGAGTCTTTTATACTGCTATTTGTTTCACGCATTAGGGTCATCATGCCTTCGTTCCAAAATCCTTGGTATCGCCTTATCTTGGTGTAGCCGCTCTCCTTGCTCGTCGCTCGTGTCGCCCAAGTTTTGTGGGAAAAAATCAAGATGTGAATGCAGAAAATGTTTCTTGAGAGACATTCGAGCTCCAATCTTGTGGTAATTTTGCAAAAAATTGTCGATTACTTGCTTGTAATCAGGTGATTTGTGGTTACCGAGAAAGTTACAAACAACACTTTGCAACGATGCCCATGCTACTGCTTCATCAGGCGTTAAACATTTTGTAAACTTTGCATCAGTCATTGGTTTTCGAATATCAGGTTCGACAAATATTCCTTCTTTGATTTTTGCGTATGACAGTTTTGGAAATAACTTGATTAAGTACTGGAAAGCCGCTCCTTCGCGATTGAGCGCTTTGACAAAGTTCTTAATAAGGCCAAGTTTAATGTGAAGAAGTGGCAATAAAACGTCCTGTGGGTTCGCAAGTGATACAGAGGACACGTTTTGTTGTCCTGGCTCATAATGGGTACGACTCGGCCACACCTTTCTCACATAAGATGATCAACTGCACGGCTGTCCCACAGACACAAAAAACAGCAACATTTTGTGAATCCAGATTGCATCTCAACCAATAGACCAATAACCTATCATGAATATGTAAATCGATTAATATATATTTCGAAAACAAATCGCTACAAATTTTCCATTGATCCTCATTGTATTTGATCTTGGCCAAAATTGTACGCATTGTGTCGTAGCATTCCCGAGTTTGTACTGCGTGAGCAATCGGAATGGATGGTTTTTTATTTCCAATGTGGAGTAGAGCCGCCTTCAAACTGTACTTAGAACCATCTATGAACAAACGCCATTCATTTCGATCATATGGTGTATTTATCACATCAAATACACCTTTGATGTCATTGCAGAAACACATGTCATTTTCTTTTTTGAAAAACGATAAAATCGCGCGATTTCTATTTCTGTATATAGTGACTTGTGTTTTAGGGTCAAGATGTTTCCATTCCTGCAACCGTGATGCAAGCAACTCTGCTTTTTGTTTCGATAAATTCAAATCGCGAATCAAATCACTCAATTCACTTTGCGAAATTAAATGCATTTCTTCCATAACGAAATCGCTTTCTTTGCTCGCCTGTGATGAAGACGAAGTTCTTAGGGCATTTTTTGCACTTAAACCTGGACAAATTGGCAATGGATCACTGTCCGTACGTGGAACTGGCTTCGACACTGATGATAAGTAAGGATATTTATACTGTGCTAGTTTTTTTTGCATTTATACCGACGACATTCATCGAGCAAAAGTTGCAATCATCTACATGATTTTTCTGTTCTCTCCATAACGTTGGCACAGAAAATGAAAAATATAGATTTTCACCAAGTGACCACTTGTACAGCTTTGTTCTGCACGCGTTACAAAACAATTTCGGTACCCATGGCTTGTCAGTGTGTACTATAGCAAAACCAAAGTACTGCAAATACGCATCTTTAAATGCATTTGTCATGATTTTTTCACGTTTTCCGAGCATATAACATCCACAAATGTAACAAAAACACTTTGAATCGACTTTGCAACGTTGTCTCTGCATTTTCACATATTCCCAAGCTAAATCACAGCTCAAAACAAGTTCCTAATGATGTTTAATGTAACGTGATCAGCGGACAGCCATATAAGAGCGCAGGCGCGAACTCGAAAACTAGAACCAATCTGGACACACGGATTGAAGATCTGAGTTCAGGACATCAAATAACGTTAAGAATCGTGCTCGGGTCCAAAAGTTGACCCGAATTTGTAAACTTGTGTTATTAATTAAAGTATCCTCTTTATAATGCAAAAAGCCATTTTAAAAAATCACTTTTAGTTCTTGAGAAATAAATTTTTGAAATAATCGACAATTTCGAATTTTGCAATTTCCGCCGGCTAAGTTTTAAAAATTCATATAAAATCCAATTCTTGGAATAGGAGTATAAAAATTTCCCAAAACGTTAATAAAAGTGTCCTTTTTCCAATGAACCAACACGTTTTGAAAAATAACTTAGTTTTTGAGAAAACAATATTTGAAGTTTTGATAACATTATCGATGTTGCAATTTTCATCGATAATTTTCAAAATTCGCTATAAAATTAATTTCTTGAAGGATCCTTGTGGAAATATCGCCAATTATTAATTAAAGTATTCTCTTTTTAGAGCTGCTTCGTTAGTTACATCAGCATCAAAAAAGTTCATTTTGTATGGATCCAAATAAGTTGACATATCTTATCATCTTTCAGATTAATTTTATTTTTATTCAAATATCGCAATAATGTGGCCGAATATCCGGTATCCGGCTTTTTGCAAAATCACTATCCGTTCCATCANTGTGGAAATATCGCCAATTATTAATTAAAGTATCCTCTTTTTAGAGTTGCTTCGTTTGTTAAATCAGCATCAAAAAAGTTCATTTTGTATCTTGGATCCAAATAAGTTGACATATCTTATCAGCTTTCTTATTAATTTCATTTTTATTCAAATATCGCAATAATGTGGCAATATAGGGTATCACTTCAGAAATGCACCAGAAATTATAACCATAATGGCCGGATAGATATGCCGGATAACCAGATATCCGGCTTTTCGCAAAATCACTATCTGTTCCATCACTATTTTTTTCTTTTTTTGGTACATACACAAAATAATAATAAACGAAAAATTAAAT